CGGCCGCCGCGGCCTCGGGCCCCGGCCAGTACAGGTGCATCGAGTGCGACCAGGAGGCCAGCGAGCTGTACCGCGATTACAGCCACGGAGTGTTGAGGATCACCATCTGCGTGAGTGGCCGGGCGTGCGGCGCCGCTGGGAGGACGTGGCGAGGTTGGGGACCGCGAGAGACGGTGGAGGCCGTCTCGGCTTCCGGGGGAGACGGAAACCTTGGTCCAGGGTCCTCTGGCAGCCGTCGGTCCGGCGCCTGACACACCCGTCCGCGGTCTGTCGGACCCTCGCACACATGCCCGCGGTGGTAGAGAACGTGATCGCTGCCCTGTCACATCTGTCACGTTTGCTGGTGAGACCTGACCCGGCCACCGGATCCTCGGGCGGAGGAGATGTGGGAGCGGTGCAGAGGGGTTCGAAGATCGGGTTAGGTGGACGTTGAGGTTCACGCCAGAGTCGTTTCATTCTTCCGTATTCTCCCCTGAGTGTCACCACCCTGTAGTCCTGAAACACTTTTTTTTTCCAGTTTTCATCCATGGTGGTTATCCAGTGTACACCAAGCACTATCCTAGACGTTGGTATACAGACACCAAAAAGAGGGGACACGGTCACCTAGAATGTCCCCGACACAGGCAGCGGAAGTCCCAGGAGACACCAGCTGGTCTTGCATGAGGAAGAGGTGCCGGGCGGAGGGTGGGCCATCTGACACGGGACCCCGAGGGTGTGTGTGAAGATCACGGGCTCCCGAACCAGAAGACCTGCCACACCGAGCGTCCCCGAACCAAAGCTGGGCAGCAGGGATGGGACCTGCCCAGCGAGCTGTTCGCGAGGTGTTCGTGGAGCCGTGCACTGGTAACCCGTGCGTTTTTCTGCACATCTGTCGTGTTGCAATGAAAAGGTAAAGATGGAAAAGATACCGGAAGGAAAGCGTTGGCAAACGTTAACCCAGAGTAAAAGGCTGTGAAACTCTGCTTCGGTGAACTTTGAACATTTCCTACCTGCAAGAAAACAAGACGAAACGGAAAGCCGAGGGGACGTAGAGCGTCACGCTGTGAGAAGTCGCGAGACGCAGCGCGCCGTGGCAGAGACGTCCTGAAGACGCTTTCGTGCAGACGTGCCGCGCCCCTTCCTGTCACCGCGCTCCCCGCGGGGCGCTTTCTGAGGCCCGGGCCACGATTAACCACCACCGCCCGACACCGAACCCGAGCGCCCGTGTCCCGCCTTTGCAGAGGCAGGTGTGACTCTTGACGACGACAGGTCGATGTGGAAAGACAGGCCGGTG